GTATTCATGATTACCAATGCATTTGAATTCCTAAGTAATGTCACTTATAATAAACGTTTCCTTTTTAATAAATAGGAAACAAAACATCATGCTTTAAACTCTTACATACTTTGGTTAAAACAATTTCACAATTCATAACTACCCCTCAGATGGGGTGATAGAGACTTTTGGATGTATTATTTAAGATCTTCACTTTGATTTCCCTCGATTGTTAATAAGGGTGGCCATTAAAAGGTTTACTTAGAGATGGAAAAAATTGGCCGGGTTAAACGGGTCAACCCTAACTCAGCTCACCTCAACCTGGCCCGGGTATCCCCTGTCGGGCAGGCTAGGCCTTCAAAGGCCAACATGGTGACCTAACGGTTTTTTTTTTTTTTTTTTTTTTTTTTTTTTTTTTTTTTTTTTTTTTTTTTTTTTTTTTTTTTGAAAACATCCAACCAGCCGGGTTAGGGGTTGTTAACCCGCCAGGTTGAAAAATAAATTAATTATTTTTTTGCAAAAACTCATTTTACCCTTCAAATATAGCCATTTTATAGTAGTTGGAGGAATCTTTTGGTCATTTTGCCCTGTTTTTTTTTTTTTTTCTATAAATAGGATTTAAACTTCTCATATTTCCTCACATCCCAAATTATCTCATTCTCTCATTTTCTCTATTGAAATCTCTCAATCTCTTTGTTGTCAATTTGCTCTCATTTTAATTTTTATTAGTTTTTGTAATTTTCAATTCATATTTCCAAATTCCAATTCTCCTTCTTTAATTTTTTTATATCCAAATTTTGTTTTTTTTTTTTTTTTTTTTTTTTTAACTACAATAGATGGATATTTTCATCCTATCAATTTCGATGATGAAGATAATTATCCTAGTCTCCCTGAATTTACAACGTAAATGCAGTAAATTCAAACAGTCTCACTTTCCCATTCTCAGAATCCAATACACCTCATAATATTTCCCCCTTCCTCCTCATGCTACTACAGCTCTCGGTGGTTCTAGAGGTCATTCTCGTAATCGTCGCCCTCGTCCAACTCCATCTCAAGTATAAGCAGGTTCATCAATTGTAATCAGACTCGACGATAGACACATATCAGACGTTTGAGTGCATTTCAAAAGGTTTTATGAGACAAAAAATAGAGTTCAAGTGAAGAAAGCAAGATACAAGTATTGTGGAAATATTTATAAAACTGATGCAAGTAATGATACTAGTACTTTAAAAAGGTATGCTAGTAAACATATAAATCATCATGGAAATAGAGAAACCAATCAAACTCAAATAACTAGTATGGGTACTACTTGACATTATAATTCTGATGTATCTAAGGAACAATTAGCTTTATATATTGTTACAACTGATCAACCTATTAATATGGCTAAAGATAAATATTTTAAAAGATTAATTAAAAATTCTTTTTTTTTTTCTAGAATTTAAAACTTATTCTAAAACTACAACTAGGAATGATTTAATAAAACTGTTTGGGAAAATGAAATTAAAATTAAGAAATAAAATACATAGTTGTCATGTTAATATGGCTCTAATCACCGATATTTAAAGTAGTAGAGCTAAACAAGATTATATTTATGTGACTAGTCATTCTTTTGATAATGAATATAAATTAAATAAATCTTTATTGGGATTTAAATTAATAAATGTGGATCATAGTGGTCAACAAATTTATAATAAAATTGTTGAAGTTTTAGAAGATTTTAATATTATTTATAAAGTGATAAGTTTAACTTTAGATAATGCAAGTGTTAACAGTAGAGCTATAGTTTTTTTAAAATAAATTTTCTTTTTTATAACAATTTGAATTTTTTTACTAACATTGTGCATGTCACATTATTAATTTAATTGTGAAAAGTGGTATGAAAAATATTATAAATAATATTGATAGAATTAAGGATTCTTTAGCTTGGATTACTAATAGTAATAGAAGAATTGCTGAATTTCAAGATGCTTGTATAAAATTAAATTTGTCTCCTAGAACTTTTGCATTAGACATGCCTATTAGATAGAATAGTACTTATTTAATGTTTGGTTCATGTTTACCTTATGCAAATTTAATTAGTTATTTGTAGCAAATAATAGAGATCCTTATTATTTTGTAGACAATGATTGACATATAGCTCAAAAATTTTCATTATTTTCTTAAAATCTTTTATCAATCCACTTTAAAATTTTTTGGCGTGTATTATCCTACTAGTCCATTGGTAATACATACAACTATAAAAATTTTAGATTTATTTAAAAAAAAAAAAAACAGAAACAACGAAATTTTCGCTGAACCAATAGAAGCAATGGAATTAAAATTTAAAAAAATATTGGAAACTCATTCATTTTCTTTTTTATTTTGCTGTCATATTTGATCCTAGAATTAAATTAGTGGGTTTAGAAAATGGTTTAGACACGTTAAGTGAAATTTTACAAGACGAAGCATATGCCAATCAACTATGAGAGATAAGACAATGTCTTGCAAAGGTATATTTGCAATATGAAAGCAGATATGGGAACCGGCAAAGAGGTGCAATACCCGAAGAAGTAGCATCAAAAAACACAAATGAAGACTTCGACTCCTAGAGTGCATTTAATTGGCCGAAGAAGACCCAAACCCAAAGCATAGCCTCCTCTTCAAAAGCATCAACAACGAATATACTGTCCTCCATGTAGTTGCAGAGTAATGAGTGTCACCAATATTTGGGATCCCCTGACTTGCTACCAGTAGATTCACAACAAAGAGCCAACTTTGATGTCTTAGAATATTACAAAACCAGAAAATGTATTTTTCCGGTATTATCAAGACTTGCCCTAGATGTTTTCTCTATTCATGTCTCAACCGTCTCATCCGAACAAACATTTAGTGCAAATGGAAGAATTTTAAATGAAATGACTAAACTTTCACTAAAAATTATTGAAGTCCTCACATGTCTTCGTAATTAAGAACAATCGTGGCATTAGGATTAATACAAGGTTGTTGATGATACTTTAATAGAATAATTTCAATTTTGTAATTTAGATGATACAGATGAAGGAAGTCCTAATCAACCCTCAAATTAGTTGTTTTGTAAATTGTAACTTTGTAATTTGTAAATTAACTATCAATTATTGCACTCTTTTTTTCTTACCAAGTTTTTGTCCCAATTTGGTTTTTCTTGGTAAGGTTTTTAATGGGTAATAATTGTTGTAATTTCTTATTTCTTATTTTATTTTTTGATAAATGAATAAATCAAAATTTTCTTATATTACAATTTAATTGTATTAAATTTGAATTAATATTTGAAATGTTAACTAAAAAAATTAATTTAATTGGATTGATAAAAAAAATTACAGAAAAAAATAAAAAAAATACTTGGCCGGCCCGCACAAAAACCCACCAGGTTAGGGTTGACTGGCCAAGCTGGGCCAACCCTTTTGGCCAAAGAGGTCGGGTCAGGCTGAGCAGGTTAATTTTCCATCACTGGGTTTACCTGATCGTTAACTTTAGAATTAGTCATGGTATACATAAGCTGGCCTGGACACCTTGATTACCAAAAAAAAAAAAAAAAAAAATTCACAATTCATAACTTTTTAATACATATGAAAATAAATGCATACTTACTTACAATTAAAATCAATTACATAGTAAGAATTCATTTTCGAAAATCATTCATTCATAAAACGTATGTGTGTAGAAATACACATTTTATAGATTATTATACTTACTTCAGTCCATAGCATATATCCACTCAATTCCTACATGTTCCCAACATTCACATTTTACATTCTTTTGAATAGTAAACCTTACTGAAACAAATGTTCTTATTTTCTTTTTCATATACACCAATACCATATTTCCAAACAAACCCAAAGAATTGAAACACTTCAAACACAAACCCAATTCATTCAAATGATTGTAGGACCCCAATTGGCCCCTTGAAATTGTATAAACCACATTTAACTCTCTTTTTTTTCACAATCCTTTCACAATAAACCCTTTAATAGTTTAATTCAAACTTCAAAAATAGAATATTCACCCAATCTGAAAATCAAAGAAATATTAAATTAAATTTCTTAAGTTTGAAATTTCTAAGAGTGTTACACTCGGTGCTTCTGCGGTTTTATTTTTTTGGGTTTATTTACTTCTCATGGTTAGTGTAAATGGTGGTTTTGATTAAAATAATACTACATCAACCACCATCTTTTACAAACTTTCTCTCACAATCCTAACGTGGCAGCTCGCAATTGATCAGTTCATAACAGGTCCCACATGGGTTTTGTATGAGTTCCACTAATTAATTACGAGTTAACCAATTGCAAGTTGTCACGTCAAGGTTGTAAAAGAAAGTTTGTGAGAAAAAGTTGTGGTATAGTATTACTCATTGATTAATTGTTAGATTCTGAATTTTTTTATTTTTTTTAATTTAATAAGTTGTGGTGAGTGGTGTGAACTGTGAATAAGAAATTGTCATAGTTTTTTTTTCGTGCGTAGATGCAGTAATGGGTGAGGGTGTAGCAGCAAAGTTTAGGATTTTGTTAATAAAAAATGAATAAAAATATAATAAACTAATTTTGTAGAAAACAAATTATTCTTATATATATATATATAGTTTTAATTTAATATGAAAAGCATATTTACCCTTTGTTTGTAAGTATTAGACTAACGTCTGTCAAATTGAAGGACTTTTTTGTTTGTAAAAAACAAATATATCCTTGACAAGTAGACTAAAAACCCTAGGGACTAGAATGAATTAAGTCAAATGTGAACAGATAAATTTCATAAGCATCAATGTATCTTAATTCCAACGAGATTGAAACAATTCTAAGTTGGACAAACAACCAATATAAGCCTGCAAAGTCTACAAATAATTTATTCATTATAAATAATAATCTTCTTATGCCCCACTTATCATTATCATTCAAAAAAACCATTCGGAACAATAATAACAACATCCATAAGAACAAACATAAACTTTATTCACTATGCAAACTCCCCAAACAAGAAGAATTCACATAAGGGAAAACAATGTTCGCAAATTAAAGCATTCAGAGAAAAACTCAAGAAACAACATTATCATATTAAGGCATCATTTAAAAAACTCATTGATTAAGGCGGTGTTGAATTCCCAGCTTGAAAGATAGCGAACTTAGATTTCTCAGAGTAATCATATTTGATCCCATTTTCATTCAGGAACTCCTTAAGAAGTCTTTTAACCTTCTCAGGATCCTCATTCTCACACTCCACCTCATATCTAGTTCCAAATTCATATCTAGTCTCATCAACCACCAATTTTAATCCTCTCCATTCATAAACTTCTCTCACATTCTCAAAACCCCCCAAACATACCCACCCAATTTTTCTCTCCACCCCAAACTCCTCTATCACTCTCTTCACAACCCTCGATTTCAAATCAAATAACTTCATCGGGTTCTGAACGCAATCTTTTGCCATCAACGGGTCTACTTCTTCCCCATCTTCTTCCACGCGACTCACTCCGTTAATCAAAGTTGGCTTCGCTTTCAGAGAGATGAAACAACGAGTGTCTTTATCAAGAAATTGGAGACGCAAAAAGGCGCGTTGAGAAGAGAGTGAGGAAGTTGGGGTATCGAAGAAGAGGTTATGTTGGTGTAAGGTTTTGATGTAAAATGGAGATAGAAGAGTTAGTAGTTGGTGGTGGTCTGTGGAATGTTTTAAGCGTAGTTTCACTTCTACTTCCATTAAAGATTGCATAACGTTAATATTTGAGGCTGATGCGTTGAGATTTGGTGGAGGGGTTTTGATGGAGGAGAGAGCGACGAGAGAGGGATTGTTAAAGCTCTTCTTTGCCTTTGATCTTCATTTCGATTTTGCTCGCTGTAATTTTCTTCTCTGAAAGGTTGCTTCTATAAGCAAACTTCAGGGAAAAAAAGAAAATGGATTAGAATAGAAGGTAAGTCGATGTCTTTTGCTACGTTGTATCTTCTCAGCATTTTCTGATAGTTTGCTTCTATGACTAAGAGCAACGCTTCCGGTTGTTAAGTTCTAATCTAACCCTTTGGACCCGATAATACGAGTCTAATAAAGAAAAGAAAATGGGAAAGCGGACCAGGAGCGCGGGAGCCAGAATTGAAAGTCAGAATGGACCAAAAGCTACGCTGATGTCTAAGGAACTTTATGGGATGTTTGGTTTGGACCATTTAGTGAGATTGTAAGGAATCCCCAATCCTTTTCAAAGGGTGGAATGGCATTCCTCCCAACCCATTCCAACTTATTTTAAATATTTTTTCCTTAAATTTATTTATAATTATTAATTTAAAATATTAAAAAATTTAGTTTATTGTTCTATCCTTCATCTTTGTGAACACAGCCACGTGACGCGACTACATTTTGGTCATCGCAACGTTGTTGAAAACCGTAGTTAAAAGTGCAAGATTAGAGGTCAGCAATTCGTAAGTCGTTGAAGACTTGAATCGTGATGTTAAGTGCAACAGCCATGTGCACGTTACAACAATGAACCCTTCTTTGGCGGTTGGAATTTGTCTAAATCGTCAATCGCTAGTTTTACATACATTGGTGGTGACGTTGGCATCGTTACCAATCGAGATTGTTAACTAATGGTTGATCAATTTGGAAAAAAAATTTAAATTTTATTGTTTTTATTTAAATTAGTTTTATAGATATAATAATAATATATTAATTATATACATAACATTTAAAATTTATATTTAATTTAAAAATATATATTTTATAGCTTTTAATTAACTTTTAATAGATTTTATTACGTGATAAAATACATATATACAATCTCTAAAACTATAGAATATTTTTGAGGGAATTTTATTAAAAGGCCAAATCAAGTTCAAATCTAATTAAAAGGCCATGTAGTTTGAAAGTGTTAAGTAAATAGTCTTATTATTGATTAAGGTTAATTAAACATTATTAGTGGTTAATTAAGATTAATGAAGTATTATGTAATCTTTTAAAAATTATAATATGTCCTCAAAGAGCCAAAATTCTTGCAAACAAATCCTAACACCTTCTTTTTCTTCCTCTTGCCATTAACGCATCCCTTTCCTGGTTGTTGTTTCTTCTAAGCTTCTTCTACATCTTCTTCTTCCTGTACATCTTCTTCTTCCTTCGCCATTAACACTTTCTTCTTCGTCTGCCATTAACACTTTCTTCTTCGTCTGCCATTAACATATTCTTTACACAGATCCGCCTCCTCCTCCTCCTGACATTTCGTCTAGGTATGTGTATCTTCTCTTTGCATTTTATATTTCGATTTACAAAGATTTAATGATGGATCGGGGTTTGGGTTTTGATTTTGATTTAGTTGTTTAGGTTATTGGGTTGTGTTTGAAGTAATGCAAGTTGAAAGGAGTGAAATTTGTTGAATATTTTCTTGTATTGTGGGTAGTTGGGGGTGGTAGCACCGATTGTAGGTGGAGATGATTGAAAATGTGTTTTGGATATGATGAATTGCTTAAGCGATTTGGTATGTCAAGTATAATACAATAGATCGCTTAAGTGATCAGGTATATGGCAGAAGATCACTTAAGCGATCTACTATGGTATATGGCAGCAGATCGCTTAAGCGATCAGGTAAATGGCAGAAGATCGCTTAAGCGATAAGGCTTATTTATACCAGATCGCTTAAGCGATACACCAGATCGCTCAAGCAACTCTGTAGATGCTTTTTAAAATCTATCAACCCTTAATACATCAGTTAATAATTTTTTTTTCTTACATTATAGGTACTTGGCTATTATTAGACATGGGACAAGTTGTTTTGGGTGTTGAATATTTTGGTGAGTGGGTGGAGGAAGAAAATTGCTGGAAGTGGATTGGGAAGAGCAAAGAAGTTATACCAATTGTTGTGAGCACAAATGTTAGTTAATTTTGATGAGTTGATTGATGAAATAATTAGAAGAGGTGGTTTGAGTTGCTCACGTAGTGATATAGTTGTGAAGTATGTTTTAAACAGAGTTCTTGAACATTATAAGGTACCTTATGTTATATTAAAGTCAGATGAAGGTGTGAAGTTATATATGATTGATGTAGGTGATAATGGTTTAATGTCGATTTTAAGGGTTTCTTTTGTAGATAAACCATTGGAAGTTGGTTCAAAGGAAGGGGATAACGAGGAAGTTGGTGGAGAGAATCCTGGCTTTAATTTGAACTACGAGGGCATTGATTTCTTAATTGAAAAATCAAGAGTAGACGGTGATTTGGGTGGTGAGGAAGACACTATAGAAGAGGTTGGTCATGTGCGACAGAATGAAAATATTGACGAGGAGGACCCCGTACATGTTTCCGCAAATGTAGAGATTCCTTTAAATATAGATTATATAGAAGGTGTAGTTTGTGAGAAAGAGAACACTATGGTCCTTTATGCAGGTTTAGAGGCGGCAATTGTAGGTAATAGTGAATCAGCTCATGTTTTTACTGATGGATCGGACTTGCGAGTAAGGTATTTATTTGACAATAAAGAGAAAGTGGTGAGAAAGCTAAAACTTGTTGCCCTAAGAGGTAATTTTGAGTTCATCACCAAAAAGTCTAATTCATCAGTAGTGATGTTGCATGTCGTGACTGAAAGTGCAAGTGGTGGGTTTATTGTAAAAGGTTGGCAAAGTCCGAAAAATTTATTTTTAGCACATATACCCATGAGCACACATGTGGGTTGGGACATATTTCAGGTGAACATCGACAAGCCTCAGCTGATATTATTGGACAATTTGTCGAAAGTCAATTTGTTAAAGGGAAAGTTCTACCTCCTAAGGACATTTAGAGACTTGTGCGCATAGAGTTGGGATGCGTTGTTAGTTATTAGAAATGCTGGAAAGGAAGACAACATGCACAAGATTTTGTGAAAGGCACGTCGGAGCACGGGTACGTAGTATTAAAAGTGTTTTGTTATATGCTTGAGTTGGCAAACCAATGTAGCAAGATGACTTTGAAGTGGACAAGAATATGAGGTTTAAATTTTTTTTTGTTGCTTACGGTGCTGCTATAAAGGGTTTTGTAAACATGAGAAATGTGTTGGCTGTTGATGGTTGCTTTTTGACAAGAAAGTATCAAGGTACATTGTTGGTGGCCACTGCACAGAACAGCGAGAATCACACATATCCTGTTGCATGGGGTGTGGTTGAATCTAAGAACGACAAGTCGTGGACTTGGTTTTTTGTTGTTGATTTTCGCAAGTGTACGAAATCGTGCAAGTAATAAAGTGTATAAAATATGGATATCGAACCCAAGGGAATTACTATTATCAATTACCAATTAGACTATCCTATTACTATTTGATCAATCCAAATTTTATCAAGGAAAACCTAAATTAAACTAACAATTGAATTTAAAAAGAAAACTGAAAAGAGAACAATTAAAATAAACCTTTGGGTAAAAACAAGATGACAAGAACTAGGGCATAGACTTCACACCAACTCTTATTGATATGTATCGATCTTTTATGCTAATTTTATTAAGCTCTTCCTACATGTCAAACTTCCTAAATTTCCAATAACTTTCTCTCGAACAATTATCAAATTAACCCCTAATTACTAACCCGAATTATCTCTAATCAGATTTAAGCAATTGGAGATCATTACGCTCGATGGAGTTTACCAAAACCTCACGAGTCATGGTAACCTATCTCTAGTGTTCGCTCAACCTATGGTTTTACTACCATAAACCAACTAAGTATCATCTCTCAATCTCAATCTAGTCCATTAGTTCATTCAATTCTTGGGCCCTTAAGAATCAAAAGCATTAGGAATAATAGTAAAACTTAGGAAGACTTCTTAATAAAAATTAACAATCAAAGATCAATACATAATTAAGAGATTGGGCTACATCTTAGCCCCAGAGAATAAAATTAGTTCATAATAAACATAAAAGAAACAATCATCTTTATTAAAACATTCATTCTGAGTTTACAAGAAAAGAATAAGGAAAACTTCTCTATATTGTGAATCAAAGCTCCAGAATTTCTGTTACTTCTCTTCTCTCTAGATTTTTCTCTCTTTCTTCTCACCAAAGAATCCCCCTAATAATGCTAAAAGACTTCTATTTATATCCCACAAGGGTTAGGGTTTGTTTTTCCTTAATTCTATTTGATTTGGAACCCTTAACCCTAATCTCCTGGCTAAAAACGAATAACAAGTTAGTGATTTCCGTGACTGTGCCACGGCACTATGCTGTAGCACAGTATCTACTGAAAAAGTGTGCCGCGGCACAGTAGCTGCTGTCCTTTTCCCACATCATTCCACTGTTCTTCAAAGATATTGATTTTTGAATTCGATAACGATGAAATTTGGAAAAGTTGTAAACATATGAAATTGAGCCCTTTGAATAAGCTTTCCAACGGTCAACAATCATCTTAATCCGAGTTCTACAGCTCAAGATATTCTCAAAATACCAAGGCATGCGCAAGTTGGGACGTAATCTAGAATCTTCTCTTTAATTCAACTTCCATAACTTCTTCAATTCAACTTCGATTCTTGATCCGTTTGTCTCCACTCGTCACTCATTTCGTTGCCAACATGATTCTCCATCCGAGCATAACATTTAAGCACTAGTAACCTGAAAAACACTCAAAAACACCCGTGATCCTGTAAAAGGCAATTATGAAAATATTAAGCAACTTTACCAAATTAAGCCTAATTTCCCACAATTAATTCCCTAAAAACCACTAACTAAATGTGTATTTTCAAGCTCTTATCATTTTTTCAGCAATTACGTAT